TACCTCTCTCCCTTTCCCAACGATCCAGAAGTCGATAAGACCAGGAGAAGTGAAGATGTAACATGTTATCTGTCGCTCTTCTTAGCTGGCGGAGAGAATTTACATTTAAAGATTAGCAGAGGGAGAAAGAGAAATCTGCCTTTTGTTGCGTGGGGCGAGGAGGAGGCATCAGCCCCGGCCTGACGCTATCTCTCGTCACCTCTGCTATCCAGACAGGACTCACCGAGGTGAGATGACCGGAGGGCCTTATCTTTCATTGCGTTGAGTTTTGCCAGGCTGAATAGGTTTAAAGAGACTCGATCAGGGGGAACAATAGATTATTTATTGACTGGACGCTGAAGCCTTTAGATGAAGGGAGAGAAAGAGCCACTTAACAACTTGATTAGTTCATTTTCATATTTTAAGGTGAGACCATCTCCCTCCTGGTGGATGGAAGGGCTGGAGAACTTAGGTGCAATTTGAATGACTTAAAATGTCTTATTTCCTTTTCCCTTCTCAGCACCAGGCTCCTACCTTATTTTAACAGGAGTTTCATTTATCCCTGACATTGAGGATTGATAAACTGGGTGAAGAGGGTAGAGGCTTTCGGGATTGATCATTGATGTTTGGTTTTGTGTGAGTTGTTTTGAATGGGTGATGAATGGAAGCTAACAGTACTTGAATGTGTGAGAAAAGCAAATGAAGCCTACTTTTAGTATGGAATTAGTTGATTTAATAGTGTGGTTCAACTCAGGCTAGAGGAGAATAGAAATCACTCCGAATCTGTTAGGGAGATTTGTATTTGGTATTTGAGCTGTGGAATTTTTCGCTTAAAGTCAGTTTATAAAAAAAAAAAAAAAAAGAAAGAAAGAAATGCTTTATTGACTCCTGAGTGTATTTCAGAAAATCACAATATCAACTTCAGAAGGTTCTTAAAATGAATAAAAATAGAAAGAAAAATGATTGGCCTCCTACACACTGTCAAGAAATGCTTTATTGACTCCTGAGTGTATTTCAGAAAATCACAATATCAACTTTAGAAGGTTCTTAAAATGAATAAAAATAGAAAGAAAAATGATTGGCCTCCTACACACTGTCAAGATAGGTGTTTTTATAGATAGATATGATCCAGTAACTAAAAGCCTAATTAAAATTTGTTTAAAGCCAGGGGGGCATGTTTCCTTGTTGACAGCGGCAGATCGATTGGGTAAGACAATAGAGTCCCATTATTTTACTTCCATTGACTGAACATATTGACATTTCAGGTTTGCTGTTGCCTCAGTGAGCATGATGAAACACTAAAATTCAGAGACCAACTGGCCAGAGTGGCACATATATTACTGTAAGTCATTTCTGCCTTCAGGTTACCTTATCATCCAGGCAGAATGGGAAAGGACAGCCTGGATCCTTCAGAAGGGGTAGAGCTGTTTTGGCTAAGAAACTGACAGATAGCATGTCTTAAGAGCATCTTTACTCTTACCCAGAAGTGGGTGTTACAGAGATATATGTGGAGTACTATTATTTAAAACTCTGAGAAGCAAGCTAGCTGGCAATCTTGCATATTTTATGTGTGAGAATACCCATTTTCAAGATTTACCTTTTCCCTTTCCTTCCCTGGTGATATTTACAGTGAGTGGTTGGTCACTTCATTTAGGTGGTCAGCTTGTGCTTGGGTGACATCCGTTCTTTCCCAATCTGGGGTACTCAAACAGCCAAGTGCCTGCTAAATCTATATCTGATAAAAGAATGTGTAAGGTCCCTTCAAAAATAGGGCCTGCCTCTGACTTTTTGTTTCCACTTTTCTTTTGGTATGGAATATAAAGTGGGATGTATATATTTTACGCTTATGTGCATACATGGCCAGTAATGTGTATAGACAAATATATGTGTATTCCAAGCAGAGGCGGAGAAAATACTAAGTATTCATTTTCTGCTTCCTTTAATTTACCCTTTTACACATTTTGCGTAGTCTTTTCATAATAAAACTAAGTATTAGGTAGACATTGAATCAAAGAAATTTGAATCATACAAAAAGTGAATATGGAAAAAACCAGAAAGGACTTAACACTTTTTAAAAAGTTTAATGGAAATATAAAACTATTGTGAACATGACTTGTACACAGCAATTATTGCCGTCAAGTAGGCAACTGATGCCCTTTACAGTGTTTAGAACAAAATTAGTCCTTTATACCATTTTCATGAAAATGTTAGGTTTCTATTTGATCAGCAGGTGCTGTTGAGATGAAAGCCGTGTGTAAATTTTCAGAAGGCCAAAAGTGTCAATTCAGAAAAGGAAAGTGATAAGAGAAAATTCAATCAGTTTTCCTGTTTTCAATTTGTGCAGGATTTGAAGAGCTGTTTTGTTAAACTGTTACATCTGCTCCAATATGAATATTGAACTACTTCCACTAAAAATAACCTATAATTTGGAAGCTACTGCAGTCTTTTGTTAATGTGAGTGGGTTATTTAAAAACAAAACAAAACAAAGAAAAATTTAAAAAAAAATTCCATTTTGACAATATCTTGCCTAATGTGCATTTTCATTTGTTGGCACTTTTATCTTCAGCAGATAAATGGTATTATGCAATTAGGACCTCATCTTGTTTGATTATAAAAGAGGTTTCCATAGGTGAAAATCCTGCTAATATAAAAAGGATTTGCACAAAACAAAATTTATTTCAAAATAACCTGTTTAAATACATCTACTTAAAATGAGATAGTTATTTCTTACATTCTCTAATACTACAATGTTTAACTTTCTGCCGATCATTGTAACAAAGTTAACACTATTGCATACTGAGCATTCTGTGATTTTACCTTTAATATACCTGCAAATGTAAGTTTAAACTAATCAGGGATATTTTACCTAACAGGGCTTTCAGAATAATTTTTTTCATGCTTAAATGAAATGATTAAATCGTGCTTGAGTGCCTGAATACAAAAGCTTTAGCTTCTATAGTACTGCTGATCAAATAAGTTTTATGGACAGGGAAAGCACCACATTAGAGAAAAATTGGATGCGTTTTACTTGTGACATTTCTAGGAACGACATGTTCTTTTAAAGTCATCCAGTATTAAAAAGAAAACTCTAACATGTCTTAAATAATCGTAATAAAAATAATACTTCATCCCTATAATAAGGAAGCAAATGGCAATGCTATCCATGTGAAACATGGACATAGAGAGTTAAGGTAGAAGGAAGACTGATGAAATTTGGATAAGGTTCAATATTGACTTAATCCTCAATTGCAATTGGGTTGACTTGTGGCTACAGTAATTTGTCCAGGGTGAGACCTGATTACTGCTTAGGATCAATTAGCTGTGGCTTTACGCTTGAATTACTAGACACACTCTTCACAGATAAACCCAGAATATCTCAAGAATGGATAAAGGGGAAGACAGACACAGTGACACATTAGCACGTTTGATATTAACAAATGCAGTGTTTCTTGTGAAACACCAAGTCAAAAGAAGAGGTTGTTTGAAGAACAGTATTGAATGTATGTATTTGTGATTATGTGTATGTAGGTAGCCAACCAAAGAATAATGCTTTTAAGGAATGTAATTTCCAATTTGAAACCTGAACAATATTCCAATGTGGCGTGTTGTGCTGGCATATCTTGAAAAGCTGGGCACCATGTGGGTATATTCTCTGGTTCAGCACCAAGCACTTTGCCACTCTTAAGAAAAGATGCTGAATCACATGAGTGTTAGAAAATTTGTTCACAGACATAATCTCATCACTTGTGATGTGATCTTCTAATGAGTTATTTTTCTGCCGAAGCCACAGTCTATGTTGATGCCATGGTACATTACATGGCACCAACAGGGGAGAGCTTCCTGTAACTCTTTTCAAAATGTTCCTACTTTATGGCTCTCATGTCAGAAGCGAGATAAAGTAATGCCCCGTGGTTGATGTTTACAGCATGGGAACCTCTTGTTTGAAAAAGTCTAGAACCATTAATGCTGCTTAAAATCACTAACATTTTCAGTGACTGAGAGACCCACTTAAAATCCCCTGCTTTGATATTTCTAATTGTGATTACGTGAATAAATTTACAGCATGGGAACCTCTTGTTTGAAAAAGTCTAGAACCATTAATGCTGCTTAAAATCACTAACATTTTCAATGACTGAGAGACCCACTTAAAATCCCCTGCTTTGATATTTCTAATTGTGATTACGTGAATAATGTAAGTCATGAAAACATTTGTTTTTGTTGGTTTCACATTGATCAAGGTCCCTGAGGCGAGTTAGTATTGGGGTGAAGAGGGCCTTTAGAATATAGATCTTGTGGAGGAGGAATGCAAAGGGCACAAATGTGAAGTTTTTCCATTGTGTCTCCAAAGATGTAAGCACCTCTAAGTGCCTTGGGGAATGTGATTGACTGGGTTCATTAATCTTTTAACACCTGGGGCTTTTAAGGGCTGCCACATAGTTGTTGGTCTTAGGAGAGAGGAGAGGAATGGATAAATATTAGAGACCTACTATGAGCCTGGCCTTAACCTTCACATAGATTTTCATCACCAACTTTAAGGAAATGATTAACCAGAATTTCAAAGAACTTCAGCCCATGCTCTAAGACTCTGGCCATAGTTGCTTTTTTGGCTTGACCCTTTGCCCCAATTTAGAAAATTGAGGTTCCCTTGTGTACCCAAAATTAACGACCTAATTTGTGCCTGAATTCTAATAACTAGGACCTTATTCTCTGAGGACCTGCGTTGATATTCTCCTTAGTAGCCCTGATCTATGAAGCCACTGTTTTTTTTTACTTACCCCCTCCTTGCCCCCGCAGCTAGGAATTGGTCAACCACTAGCTGACATATCCTTGGATACTCACTCCCAAGTTTGTGCCAGTCTGTATTCCTCAATATATCCTAATCCAGGTGTGCTCATTACTGAATTCTATTCCCTTATCGGAATACCTCTGTCCTACACTGCACTGAGGTCATGCCAAATTGATGTGTTCCCTTTGTTGAATTTATCCAGCATTCTTGAGCAGTCTTCTCCCCAGTGTCCCTAGTCCCTGAGGGTTGTTCCATCTCGGTCAGACACTTCGTATCTTGATCTCAGCGTTTCCTAGTCTGCCAGGTCCAACTTCCTGTTCACCTCTTAAGATTGGAGGAGAGGGATTCTGTACCACCTTTCTACTCTATGGAAAAGAGTCCGTAACTAGTTGGGTAGTGTAAAGCACTCTGTATTATTTGAAAGAAGGACCTGGTGTGTGTGTGCAGTCCCCGACAGCAAA